ACCGAGATCTTTCTCGTAATCAGCTACCTTTATTTCAGTGGAACCCATAAAATATCTGTACTGTATACAGTATTTCTGCTCCCTGCATGGATTACCTTACATTTATCTGTGTTAGCAATGCTAAATCAACATTGAAAATCAACATTGTTTAATATGGAATCAACATGTGTGTGCTATCTGGGTTACCTTGTTTTTGTGAGGGGTTTTCCGGAGGACAAGAGAAAGTGTTGCCCAATTTTATTTGCACGGCACTGATCGGTTTGCAGGACACTTTGCAGGAAAGACGCTTGTCTTGTTATTTTTGACTGAAACCGCAAGCAGCCAACCCGAACAATATTGGAGAATTAAGAGGGCATTGCCTGAGGGGAGGGGTGAGTCTGGCCCAAGAGCATCTGGCTGCAGACCTTCACCAGGAGAAGCTCCACTAAAGGGCCGGAAATATGTGACCTCCACAAGTGAGTCCGGACATGACGTTATGCAAACTTATGGTGCGTTCGATTATTTCTCTCCAAGTCGGAACTCGGATGAAAACGCCACGAAACGTCACGAAAAACGTCACTTCCCGTCGGAAACACGCCTCTTTTATGACGTTTAAGTGGGACAAGATTTTGTTGTCCGAGTTGCCCCTGTGACGTAATTTCAACATGGCGGCTTACGCACTCAACAGTAATTCTATTTTCTAAATCTTTAAAAATGTTTATTTTGTTAAATGTATTAATAGTTATAAATGTAATTGCATGTGTTCGATTTAGAAAATACCATATCATGACCCTAAACAGTATCCTAGCATGCAATATCAGATTTTTACCAGACTTGTTAGTGCCATTGGTTTGTTTGTAGTTTGATTGCCTCTCGAAAAAAAGAATGTCACTATGAATGTGCTAAAAAACTTTATAAAGTTTTTAATGTGGTTTGACTAGTTCATGTTTCTTGTTTGTTTGTCTCTCAGAAAAAATAATCTCAGTCCAAATCTGCTAAAATATAAAGCAACAACACACAGCCATGTTTGTTCCGAGATGTGGGTAGCTCGAACGGGAGATTGTCGGACGTGATGTCACTCAACTCGGAATTTCAGAGTTCCGAGAGAAAAACGAACGCACCATTATGCCATATGGAGGCAGTACCAGATATCACATGACTCCATGCACAGACCGGATATGTCAATGGGAGAGTGTTTCGTTTTGTCGAAAGAAAAAAGTGGGTAGAACAAGCAACAACGGTAGCATTCGAGTTGTGTTTTTTTCCTCAAAATTTAGCTTTAAATTGGTTACTTAAGCTTAGACTGACTGTGTCCGCAAATTCGATCCCCATTTCGACAGATCATAGTTTCTAATTAATGCCATACATTTTGGTACTGAAAAAGAAAAAAATATTTATAAATATTTCTTTAGTTCCCAATCTGTTAAGCTTTAGTGAACTAGGCAGCTCTGTTACAAATGTTATATGTGCTGTGAAATGAAGTAATTATTACTCTACATGACAATAATTCTTATTAATTGTACTATTTTAGATGCACATATCTATATGGGATGCTAATTCACAGCTGGTTCTGGACGAATGCAACACCTGGACTGCCAGAAAGCTCTAGACAAACTAAAACAGAACGATCGATCTGGATGACCTAAATCCCTTTCTTTTTGTGTTTCAGTACAAAGAAGATATGGAACACTTTCTTAAAAACTGTGTTGATAATCAGCACCTCCGGGTCAACGCTATGTTTTTATTGCCTTAAAGATGAGCCGCAGTGCCCATCACTGTAGTCTTTATATAAAGTTAATTTTTAATAACTGTTTTAATAATCATATCATTGTAATTACACAGCAAATCTGCCAGTGTTAAATTAACACTGCATGGTGTCTATATGTGACCACAACATTCAGTGTTACCTTTAACACTTGTCAGTGTGCAGTGAGTGTTGTTTTTAAAGTGTTAATATTTATTAACTCTTATAGTGTTCAATTTACAACCTAGAGTGTTGTCAAAGAGTCTCCACCTCCACATATCTGCCCCATTTTAATATGCGAACAAGACATCATGAGGATCTGAAGAGCCATCCCAGATTTACCCACCATCATGAGAAAGACTCTGACCAAACAGGACCTTACAGCTTTTTCTTGTTTTGTATTAAAGTTTTGCTGGCTCGGTTCTGACAAATCTTGAAGATTAGAAAGCTGGGAGCATGTTGTTATTGCATCACAAGAAAAAACTCTTGAAGATGTACAGAATGTGTCTCCAGATTGGTGTATAAATATTAATAGTGTTGGAGAATGTTTGACTGCAAGTCCTGCCTTTGGCTGATTAACATATGTGGGACAAGTGTCAGGAGAGTTGTGATACCCTTTTTTGTGCAATTTCTGGTACCACCTCCTCCGCAGTAGACCAGTGGTGCTGGATGTATATTTGCATAGCATAACAGTACTGTTTTTGACTTAATATATATTTTTTTAATCCACCACGATTGTGATGAATAAGGCAAGAGAACAAAAACCACCAAAATGGCTCTTGCGTTCCAGGTAAGGACCAGGTGGGGTGGTTTAACTAGAGAAGGTGTTGGCTGGGTGGAAAATGCTATGGAAAACCAATCATTTTGTTTCTTTTATAAGTCTGCTCTCCGCAGGAAAATCATTAGGATCTTTATCTTTACAAATGAGATTACATCAGGGATGTAAGAAAACACTGCCCAGATCATTTAACATACAACCGGACCTCAAAAATACAGATAATGAAATGTGGTAAAGACTAATATCAGTGCCATACCAGCCTTGATCGTGGTGGGATTCTAAAAATTAAGCTTAATGAAAATCTTAATATTAAATGAACAAAGTGATTTGATTTGTTCTTTTATCGCAAGTTGTGGTCTAAAACCAATGAGGCCACCACCCATTATATCTGCTTTAGCAGAAATACACTCCTTCAGCAGGCGGAGCCAACAGCCTTGTGGCGAGGAGCGGAAATTCTCACTGCTCCACTGCGCTCACATGCTCTGATACAAAGCCTCATTAATAATTTAGCCATACTAAGCTGCTTATATTGTGGGCGTAAATAAATGTCCGTATAGTACAGAAAAGCTGCCAAATGTTCCGCCTGTCATCTGAAGCCCTAGTGAGTATTGCACATGCGCGATATAATATCGATATGATATCGCCCAGCCCTAGTTTTTTATGTCATCCTCCCATCCATCAACCATAGAAGGCAGTAGAGGTATGACAATATTGTCAAATCCTAGGACAGGATTCGTAAGCTGCCATTTCAATAAAAAATACCTGTATTTCACTTAAGCACTGCATAAGGTTTTAGCATTTGAACAAGAATAATTATGAAAAGAATTGAATTTACTATTTCCAGTTTACAGTGTGGAATACCCAGTAATACTGACCTCAGCATCTCCAGTTTACAGTGTGAATCCTTCAGTCCAGCAGAGAGCAGCTTCACTCCTGAATCCTGCAGGTCATTGTCACTCAGGTCCAGCTCTCTGAGGTGTGAGGAGTCTGATCTGAGAGTTGAAACCAGCGCATCACAGCATTTCTCTGTGAGATTACAGCGGTTCAACCTGAAAAAGGAGCCAAATTATTATACACACACTTCAGTGACTAGTGATACAAGGCATGAACACAAACTTTTTTCAGCCAATACTTCAAAGGGAATTGGAGTCTACACCCAAAAATACCTTAAATCACTTCAGTTAGCAATCTTATTAAACATGGTCAAATTTAAATTTCGGTCAGTCCTCTGATGGTCATCATGTTCCCTGTCATGAAGAATATAGTGAGCATTTTCAATTCAAAGCACAAATATGCCAAAAGGTTTTGTGCCAAAAGGTTGCCGATGAGTTTAAGCTTTTTTAGTTTATTCATAATTATATGATTTTTCATATAAACTTTAATAAAAAATAATTAAATTACCGATTCCTTGACTGAAAGTTTTTTTTCTGTATTGTTATACCTAGGAATTTATCAAATGACAAATTCCCTAATTGGAGAACCACCAATCCTATCAGGATTTTTATTTGAAATATTTCTGAATATTTATCATCCATTTGGAGAAACAGTCTTTTTGCCTATTCCCTCTTGGTAACCGATTGCCGCCATCCGTGCACGTACTTCTCCAAGAAGCTGACCCCCACAGAGCGTGACTACGATGTAGGGGACCGGGAGCTCCTGGCCATTAAGCTTGCCTTAGAAGAATGGAGGCACTGGCGAGAGGGGGCTCACCTTCCGTTCCAAGTTTTCAAGTACCATAGAAATTTGGAATATCTACAAAACACAAAACGGCTTAATCCTCGACAAGCTCACTGGGCAATGTTCTTCGCTCGCTTTCATTTCAAAGTTATTTACCTCCCGGGGAAGAAAAATGTTAACCCTTGGGAGTCTCAGGCCTCCCAGCCACCTTCAGGGTAGTCTGACATGCCTTGACATTTTTAAATACACTACTCGACAATAAGTTAGGGATATTGTTATTTACATGAGTGCTTTTCCTATTTGCTCTGAATTTTAATGAAATAAGTAAAAGTTCCCTTTGATATTACTAATAATGTATGAGAAGAAACACCATTGTCATTAGCTTAATATTTATTACCCCAAAAATTTAGACAATAACAGGGACAGCCCCAAAGAACAACAATTGACAATGTCAGTAGCGGGTGTTTCCACCATTTGCCGCAATGACAGCTTGACAGCGACGTCTCATGCTCCTCACTAGCCTCATGATGTTGTTCTGAGGCAATGCGTTCCACTCTTCCACAAGTGCTACACGCAGTTCTGCCAGGTCACGTGGGGGTGGGGTACGATCTTCCAGTCTCTGCTTAAACTGGTCCCAGACGTGACGGGTTCAGGTCAGGGGACATTGATGGCCATACCATATGAGGCACTCCAACTTCCTGAA